GCCTTCATTTCTGCTTCTATCCATCCCAGAGTTCTAGGCTCCACACCTGGGGGATACCTAGGTAGGGTCGTTGACTCACTACCAAACAAAAATCTGAGTGTCCCCCTTATCTCTCAAAAGCAAAGAGCGAGAAGCCTTTGCAGAAAAGAGGCTTCCTTCCAAACATACCCAGCAACTCAACATCAGGCTGAGTTCACAGCCAGCCCTAATTTAGCTGAATATACAGTGCATTTATATGCCGGGCTTGGATTGTAACTGCATCCGGCAGTCGTCCGGCAGCGATGACTTATTAATGTATGACTACACTGATATTTAAATGTGAGCCGTAATGAGGGCTATAAAACATTTACGATAATAGCGATTATTCCAGAACCAAAGTGACTAAACACAGTATTCAGACCTTCATGATTTGCTGTGTGGGGCTGCCCGGCCCAGGGACGTCAGAGGGTTGCTAACCTCTTAGATGCTGATCTCCATGGCAGCTACAGTTCCTTTTTCCCTAATAAACACAGATTTATTTGATTTCCAATCTTGGTGGCTTTTGCCCATGCAGGGAGCACTCTGCTCTCTCTGGTTCTTGTGTCCCAGCCTAAGCAGCTGGCATTTGATGGAGATGTCATTGTCATAACCCTGATGCAGAAGAGCAGAGTGGGTGAGCATGGCCTCAAAGGCAACGACCTGGTTTAGATTCTGCCTCTGCCACTTACGGCCCGTGCAACCATGAGTAAGTTTTCATAATCTTATTAAGCTTCCTCCTCCGTAACATGGGGCAAATAGCAGCGCTGATCTCACAAGAGCTTTCCTGGTGATTAAACGAGATGGTACTAATAATTGCCAACATTAACTGCGAGCTTATTTTATGCCAGGCAGGCACTGGGCTGAGGGTCCTACTTGTCATCTCATTTCTATAGCCACCCGATGAGGCAGGCACCTTTCTATCACCTCCATGTCATGGATGAAGCAAGTGGTGGTCCCAGGACTTAAATCCACACAAGCCTGACTCCAGAAATGACACCTGCCTTAGTTGTCTAAGGCTGCTGTAACAGATTACCACACATTCTGTGGTTTAAAGCAACGTAAACTTATTCTCATACAGACTGGAGGTCAGAAGTCTAAAATGGGTTCACGGGACTGTTTCTTCTGGAGGCCTCAAGAGGAGAATTCATTCCCTTGTCTTTTGCGGCTTGCAGAGGCCACCATATTCCTTGGCTCATGGCCCCTTCCTTGTATCACTCCGACCTCTTGCTTCTGTTGTCACATCTCCTACTGTTCACTCTGATGCCCTGCCTCCCTCTTAAGAGGACCTGTGTGATGACACTTAGAGCCTGACTGGATAATCCAGGATAACCTCCCCATCTCAGGATTCTTAGTCATATGTGCCAAGTTCCTTTTGCCACATAAGGTACGCTTCATAAGTTCCTGGGATGAGGACAAGAACATCTTTGGGGGGACATTATCCAGCTGACCATCACGCCCTTGAAACAGGGCATGGCAAGCACGCTTGTTAGCACACTGCCTGGCTCATAGGCAGTGATCTGTAATTATTAGCTATTATTATTGTAGCTTGTGTTTGTTTGGTCCTTTATGGTTTACAGTATACTTTCGCATTCATCTTATTTGGTACTTGAAGCACTCTGAGGTTGAAATTATTATCCCCATCTTGCCGATGAGCAATTTGAGGCTATAAGACATAAGAGACCTACCCAGGGTAGCAACGAGCTCTTAGAGGATTCAGGACTCACTACTCTTGCTTTTCACAGTTTCTCCCAACTTTATCACTGCCTCCTGTTTTCAGGGCAAGTTTGTTACTCCAGCAAAGATATTCTCTGTCATTTCCACTCAGGGACCCAAAGCCGGAAATAACTGAGCAAGCCTCCCATTGCCTCTTGTTCTAGAAACTTTCTTGAAAGTTAATCAACAGAAAAAATAAATGCTTTGGTCTGACAATGACCCACCTCCACCCCCATTAGATGACTGCCCAAGCCTAACTTATGGTGACCTCATCAACCTCACCTTATTTATTACTTCCATTTCCTGGAAGAGTTTTGCTAGTTCTAGAATCTAGCTTTAATCTCACTGCCCTGTTCCTATTGAGAAGATATGCTTTACCCCAAGTCGCCCCAGTTGGAAGCTTTTCTCCAAGTAAGTGCTCTTAATTCAGCATTTTCCGTCAGGTTTCAAGCTCAAGTTCCGGGTCACATTAATTCTATGAAACTTCAAGACTGTCCTGGCCTCCCCTTTTTGTACCATGACAAGCTACTGAATGGGCATTTCAGTATGAACTAGAAATGATGCAATTTCCCCCCATCGGATTTATTTATTTAGTTAGTTAGTTATTTTTTAAATTGGGGTATAGTTGTTTTACCATGTTGTGTTAGTTTCTACTGTACAGCAAAGTGAAGTGGAGTTCCTGTGCTGTACAGCAGGTTCTTATTAGTTATCTATTTTATACATATCAGTGAATATCTGTCAACCCTAATCTCCCAACTCAGCCCACCCCCAACCCCCCGCTTTCCCCCCTTGGTGTCCATATATTCGTTCTCTTACATCTGTGTCTCTATTTCTGCCTTGCAAACTGGTTCATCTGTACCATTTTTCTAGATTCCACATATATGCATTAATATATGATATTTGTTTTTCCCTTTCTGACTTACTTCACTCTGTATGACAGGCTCTGGGTCCGACCCCGTCTCTGCAAATGACCCTATGTCACTCCTTTCTATGGCTGAGTAGTATTCCATTGTGTATATGT